CTGTAGACTGTAGACTGTAGACTGTAGACTGTAGACTGAAGACAGTAGACTGTAGACTGTAGACGGTAGACTGTAGACTGTAGAATGTAGACTCTAGACTGTAGACAGTAGACTGCAGACTGTAGACTGTAGACTGTAGACAGTAGACTGTAGACTGTAGACTGTAGAATGTAGACTGTAGAATGTAGACTCTAGACTGTAGACAGTTGAGTGTAGACTGTAGAATGCAGACTGTAGACAGTAGACTGTTGACTGTAGACTGTAGACAGTAGTTTGTAGACAGTAGACTGGAGACTGTAGAATGTAGACTGTAGACACTATACTGTAGACTGTGGACTGTAGACTGTAGACTGTAGGCTGTAAACTGTAGACTGTAGACTATAGATTGTAGACAGTAGACTGTAGACAGTAGACTGTAGACAGTAGACTGTAGACAGTAGACTGTAGACAGTAGACTGTAGACAGTAGACTGTAGACAGTAGACTGTAGACTGTAGACTGTAGACTGTAGACTGTAGACTGTAGATTGTAGACTGTAGACAGTAGACTGTAGACTGTAGAATGTAGACTGTAGAATGTAGACTGTAGAATGTAGAATGTAGACTGTAGACAGTAGACTGTGGACTGTAGACTGTAAACTGTAGACTGTAGACTGTAGACTGTAGACTGTAGATTGTAGACTGTAGAAGTAGACTGTAGACTGTAGAATGTAGACTGTAGACAGTAGACTGTAGAGTGTGGACTGTAGACTGTAGACTGTAGACTGTAGAATGTAGACTGTAGATAGTTGACTGTAGACTGTAGACTGTAGAGAGTAGACTGTAGACCGTAGACTGTTGACTGTAGACTGTAGACTGTATACTGTAGACTGTAGACTGTAGACAGTAGACTGTATACCGTAGACTGTAGACTGTAGGCTGTAGACTGTAGACTGTAGACTGTAGACTGTAGACTGTAGAATGTAGACTGTAGACTGTAACCAACCAATTTAAAGCGATACCTGTGTTAATCATGGAAAAATAAAAGTTCATATTTACTTTGTATAAAAATTGTTAAAATTCAACATTTTTGGTTAAAATTGATTTTTTTCAATTGTGGTTTCTTTGCTAAAGGGACTGTCTTATAAGCAACTGAAAAAATTATGAATCAAAAATGTCCTTTTTTAAATGGATGGTTACTTGAAATTATGTCTACGCCTACAGCCGTACTTTTACTATAGTTAAACCATGCCAGCCAATCATTAACTCTAACCTTACGGCAGATGTATTTTTTAGCCTTTTAAATTGGTTGTTCTATGAAGATGCATCTATCTTTTTTAAATTCGATTACTGTAAATATAGCATATATAGCTAGATGAGATATAGATAATTTAAGGTCTCAAAACTGATATATAGAAAATTTTCGCGTCAAATTATAGCAATTTTGACAAAAATTAGATTTAACAAATAAATATTTACGAAATTTTTATTTTAAGAACAGATCTAAAATTTAGAACATTTTCGTCAAATATTGATAATTGTCAAAAAAAAAATTTCACATTTTTTCGTACAATGGTAGACAATGCTATTAGTATGATAAAAAAGACTTTTTATCTCAGCTTTGATTGTTACCAAGTCTTTTTAGAATTGCAATTAATTAAAGTGAATCCTTTGCAATTGCCAGCTTCTTGTGACTTTTATGTGTATGTGTATCCATGCTGTTTGTGAGCTTGATATAATATCAAAATTGATATTGAAAATCGTCTTCATTTTATTGATAAAAGTGCCTACCACTGTTAGAGTTACTACATTTTTTAATGAATGCATAGGCATGAAGTTTAGAGTATTTAAGGAGCTTAATGTAGATTTTATGGAATTAAAGTCAATAAATTGTTACAAACATTTTCAAGGTAAATTAAATTTTGAAGGGGGGGGGGGTGCAAAAATAATGCTTGTCGTTGCACCCTTTATTCAGGAGAATTGGAAGTGCAACTTTTCCTGGCACCCCCTTGTTATGAGCATGCTTTACAGAGGAAAGCATTTTTTAGTTTTTTTTTTTTATAATATAGCTATGATTTCAACCTAACTGTAGTTCAACTATGTGTTCCTGGGCCGTATCCTTGGTAATTGATTACTTAATTAATTGATCAAGCTGGCCGGACAGTTTATGCATGCGCTATGGATCTATCCAAAGCGTTCGATCTTGTATCTTGGGAAAAATTGTTCCCCGAGCTATTGGAAAGAACTATTTCAGTTTTATCTCTATGATGTCTCATACATATATATAAGAACCAAACTTGCAATTTTAAATGGACTGATTCTCTATCCCATGGTTTTCAAGTAACAAATGGAGTAAGACAGGGAGCGGTTAGTTCTCCGATATTATTCTGCATCTATATAAATGATTTGATAAAACAGTTGTCAAATACAAGGTATATACCTTGGAATATGGGTTTATGCTGATGACATAATTCTTCTGTCCCCAAGTAGGAATGGGTTACAGGAAATGACAAATATATGTGAGAAATTTGCACTAAATCGTAAACTTAAGTTTAGCACAAACGTGGACATAAACAAATCCAAGACTAAATGTGTTCTTTTCAATAAATCTAATATTGATAGTAATAATGTATGTCCGATTATTCAAAATGGTGTCCCATTACCATATGTAGATGAATTTAAACATCTTTGAAATCTATTTCAATCCGATAATTCTATGACCAGAGATTGTAATTTGAAACGTGCGAAGTTTATATCAATAATTCACTCTTTGAATCAAGAATTTCATTTTTCTGAACCTACAATGGTTGTTAAGCTTTATAACATAGATGCATCTAGAATATATGATTCCAACTTATGGGATTTGTTTTGTGTTAACACTGTAAAATTGTATTTTTCTTGGAATACTGGTAATAGTATTTTATTTGGTTTGCCACGAAAAACTCATAGATATTTTATTGAACAAATTTCTGAGCAAATTTATTTAAAAACTATGTTGTGTAGCCGATTTGTATCATTTTGCGAATCTATGTGTAAAAGTTGCAAGCTCAGCATCCGACTATTATTTGATTTATGCAAAAATGACCAAAGAACAAAATTATGTAAGACTTTATCTAATATTGCAAATGAAACCTATGTAGATAAACTGTCCTTGAACAAGTCTCTAGTAAAGTCAAACATGATTTACACGAATCCGGCTGAAAATGCGTGGAGAATTCCACTGTTAAAAGATTTACTATTAATCCGGTCAAATCCAAATGTTTTAGAAGGATTTAACTATGATGAAATAGATGTAATTATTGATGATATATGTAAAAACTAACTAAGTTTTTATTTTTATTTTATTTTATTGTTTTCGATTATATATTAATTCGTTATTTTATATGTTATATATGATCTCATTAGTTGATTTTAAATTGTACCATTGTGTACGAATAAATACAATATATCTTGATTTTGATCAGATTAATGGTAACTTAAGAGGGGGGGAGTAAGGGTGGTCAGTGTGAGAAAATAATTTCAGGCTTGTTTTGCAAATATTTAACCATATTTACTTATATGTGAAGAGAGGAAAGGAAAGGGGGGGGGTTAAAAAGGAAAATACTTTGACTTTTTTAAAATCAAGAATATGTTATTGTTTAAACCAAACGTTTTTTTTAATTTAAAAATTTTGCGTCAACAAAATCTTCCCTCCCCTCCCCATAACCCAAATGAAAAAGATTGGTCTTCTGCTATCTGCCCAATGTCGCTCAAAACGCCCGGACATGGTTGCCAGTGCAGCGCCCCTAGCGGCAGAAATATAAATCCTCTCAGTGTCTAGTCTAATAGTCTTGGTCATACCTGCCTCATAGTGAAACCATGGCATTTCTCTGTCCAGTGAGAATACGAAGAAATAAGAAGAAAAAGCGTGAGTTATTTTTCTATTCAAAATAGTTTACGCTGTCTTGCACTGTTGCGTCCATGCCTCTCTGAAATTGGCGGATTTTTGTATCGTTAGAATACAGTGTTCACTGTACAGTGCTGTGTTTGAGTAGTTTAAGTGAACGGATTGCGGATTTTCTCCCTCTGCGGGATCCATTCTTACTTGATTTATCTATTAGACGTGACTATAAGCGTAAATACGCCTGGAAGAGATATAAATTCAAAAGTTTGGAGATTTAATCTTAATCAATTTTCTAAGTGTTCTGCTATGTACATTGTACACTGTTCACAGCAGAATACATTTAATGCTTTAGCTCGTTACGGTAAAGTTTGATTGTTTGATACTAATCTGACAGTTAACTCACGAATATAACGGATGGTTAATTCTAAACCAATTAAAATTAAACTTTTCTATATAAAGAAATGTCCCCCCCCCCCCTCCTCCTATACATTTATGTCTACTCCCTCCCTCCCCACCCTCCTTCTATACATTTATGTCCACTCCCTCCCCACTGTAAACTGTAGACTGTAGACA